CGATTGATTTCTTTTTCAACTCTTTCTTTGATATCGTACGGTACAGGACGCGCTTTCATAAATCTTGGCACTGCACTTGGTTTCAGGTGAATATTTACAGGTTCCCCACGATAAGTACCGAGTCCGGCTCTGAAAACTTCATTATGTTTATTCAAAATTACCTCAGTCACATTAATTTCTTTAATAGTATTTACATTTACACATATTCCTAAAGCTTCAAACCAATTACGTCCTAACAAATTTGGACCCGAACCCTGAGCCACAATAACCTTAAGAGAACACTTAATGTCTTTATATTCTACTAGCACTGTGGCTTGACCGTCCACTCTGACTGCAGAATTATTCCAAGTACATAATTTATTCATCAAAGGTTCCAAAGGCATGTGAGAGTGTATTCGACGCCACGTATGTAAATTCACAAGAGAGTAGGCAGCACCCGAGTCCACTTCCATAATCACTGGTACACCATCTAGTAACACCTTTACTTCGTAAGCTGGTACGCGCCGACTATTTGTGTTCACGTTGTAAATACCATTTAATTGCGCTTGAAATTCATCATCTGTATAGTTAATGCTCTTTCTTTTGTTGTTTTTCTTAGATGTACATATCTTTTCAATATGCCCTTTTTTCTTACAATAATGACAAATTGAATTAATATAACGACACTCTCCACCGTGTCGGTCTCCGCAGCGATAGCACAGTCGAAAATTACGTTTGAAATTGACGACATTCACTTCCATAGGCTCGGCATGTGACGTCAGTACCTCACCCTGTGTCATACCAAATGTGTCCGTGCTCGTGCTTTGAATCATGCGCACATCCTTTCCGGCGCTCTCCGATGATACCATAGCATGTACAACATCTTCATAACGAAGTTGTTGCTCTCTTCAACAACTCATACTGAAGCTTATGATCGCTCATGCCGCACACCAGTCTATCTCGAAGCATTCGTTCTAAATCAATAAAATTGCATCCCGAACTAATTTTGCGATAACGTAGCAATATAACAGAGAGCCAATTAGTTTTGTGCCTGATCTCGGTTTGAATTTCGTATGGGACACTAGAAATTCATTTGGGTTTTCGGGACTGTAATGTTTGGGTAGAACTTTCGATAACAATAGTAACCTAGATTTCGGGTCGGTGCATAAAATCCGTCTGCCGCAAAGTAAGCAAGCGCACTTGAAATGTGAGTCTCTTATTTTGTTTAGTTCACTTCAAACACAGCCAATGTCAACCCGTCTCACAATACCGCAGTGTGTATTCAAAAGTTGCAAAAATAAGGCCCGAAAAAGCAATTTAACGGCCGGAAGTATCTTACTTTCGGTAAGTACATGAAGTATAAACTATATTGTAAGCTTTAAACTTATAAATAATATTAAATTTTGAACAAAATTACCGATTTTTAACCACCGCTACAAATGTTGGCCAAGGCTGGCCAAACATGGACAAACTTTTTGCTTAACAGAACAGTAAATGCATGAGTAGCATTTGTGTTGTAATAATTTTTTAAATATTTGTTAGCTGCACTTCAATAATTAGTTGGTTAAAATGTGGTTAATGCTACTCGTTGTCTGTTTGTTGGACTCTCATTAGATACTTAGCTTTCCATTTTTATTTTAGCTTTCCTAGCAATCACGTGTGCAGAATGGATCTCGATTGTCGCCAGAGAAACAAGAGATGACTTTTATAAGCCAGCTAAGAACTCCGCTTATTGACACTGGACATCTTTGCCTTCCGTGCTCACGGCTACTGAAATGTGGCCGAAACATTGTAATAAAAATCACCACGCTTGAAACCGTTTAAACGTTGTTTTATTATGTGCACTGGTCGCGAAAACTTAAAAATATATATTACACAAAAACGTAACGTTAATAAAATAATAAGTAATGTTAGATACTAATACAACATTTCCAAAACATAAAAAGTAAACAACTAAACTTTTACTTTAATTCATTAATAAATTATTTTAGTGTTAAGCGCGACTCCCTTACCTCCTGTAGTAAATAGAAATCGGCATTTCAAGAAGCAAAAATAAATAAAGCAAAACGATGTTAGTTCTCAGAGCAATTAAGGGAAAAGTTACTTTATTTGTTGCGCCTTAAGATTGATTTAACATTAAAAGTTGTTTAAAATATGTCTTTTTATTGGTAAGTGACAGGAGTAATTTATTGCTTTGCTCGTTTTACGTGACGAATGATCGTAAGTACTAGATAATGTTTTGGAGATTTGTGACTTTATTACTAGGTGCCATAGTTGTTATTAGTTTGAAAGTAAAAGTGTTTCAAAACTTTTTTCTCCGTTTGTTAGTAAACGAATGTAGCTATATAAGTATATATTCACGCGGACAGTTTTTGCTTTAATTTTATACGTATCCCTTTATCTAGTTACTATTGTTGATCGAAGGGTTAGAATGTTTTCAATTTCAACAAAAGTCACATCACTAGATTTTCTTGGTGTAATTAACGCGAGAACAGTTTCGAACACTTCAGCACCACACACAGTAAAGAAATTAGCCTTTTTAACAGTATCACTTTCGATTCCATTAGCCTCAAAACAATATTTTAGTCTGTCAATATAACTGTCCCAATTATCCGATTTTACATGAAATTCTTGGAATTTGACTGATTTACGCTCCATATTAGTATTTTACGATCGTCGCCAATATTATGTTTTATTATTTAATAAAGAACTTAAGCACATGTGTTCGGTAACAAATCAGTTCATTGTGTGTCTGTCTTTATGCAACCCGCACTTAGCAATCCTTTTATTAAAAGGAGAACAAGTACCCTCACTAATACACTACATCATGTTTACATGGAAACTTGCAGTATGTATGTTTTTTTTTTGTTTCTGCCCGCAATACCTTTACTGACATAGCTTGTGTTTCACTTATATCAGTTAGTATTTTCAAATCATATTTCAAAATCTTTTATTAAACACATTTTAGTTATTTGAGTATAAATGAAATTTGTTCTTTATTCTATATTATAAATTATGTAATTATTGTTCTTCCTCATTCATTGTAATCCATCAAAAGGCTTAGACTGTAGTGTGCCAAAAATTTACATGTTAACCTACCATGGATAAACGTTACGGCCCCATTGGTGATTTGGTTAATAAAAAAAAACAGACGTGTGGTACTCGGGGACTGCCGCGGTAAAGCTATGGCAAAGCATTTTTTATCAACTTATGCAATTACAATTAGGCAATAATAATTTAATATTAATACAATAAAAATAGACCACGCAATATTTATAAACATTAACAAAAGCAAAACATTAACTGTCCCCTTCACACTCATAAGCTAGACCGCTTGAGAGAGAGATAGGCAGACTTTTCATGATGCTCATGCAGTGCGACGTCACGCCGCGCGCTTATTCACAAACACTACACCAGCGCGATGTGTGAATGTGTTGAACGCGAGCTACATAGTAGGCGTAGTGGGGATGTCAGGTTATTTTCGTTACGGAATTTTTTGATTCAGTCGCCGCGCTCAAGGCCCGCGATAGAAGCTATGCAAAAGCTTAAGAAGTCTTATTAACATAACAATGAAAACAGTGAGTGGCAATCTGATAGGTACCTATTGCAATAAGTATGCTTATTTATAAAATTTACATAAAACACATAACAATCTATTTGTGAATTCATTATATAACAGTCTTTAAATAAGTAATTTAAATTAGTAAATAATTATTTCTGAAGCAATAAAATTATAAAGCTGTGTAATATGTTACATGAGACTGATGTCTTTCCGGTGTTGCTTTCACTTACTCAAACTCATGAATCGTTCATTATGGTCATCAAAGGCAGGGGAACCTATGGTATAGTTAACCGGTCGAAGTCGACAACAGTTAGGGGATTCCTATATTCCTAGATTTCCTTGAAGTGGTTATGGCAGACCACACCTACGGCAGCGTCGTGGCCTCGTTGCTAAATTGGGTATAACAACTTGTCCGTCATAGTCATTGCGAGCGATGTTTGATTTCTGAAAGAACATCTTGCAGAAGGGCAGCGGGGCAGACAGAAATATATTTTTTGTTCGCTTTAAACGTTCGCCGTCGAGTGGGGTTAGAAATGATTAATGCCTTTTTTTTTTATTGCTTAGATGGGTGGACGAGCTCACAGCCCACCTGGTGTTAAGTGGTTACTGGAGCCCATAGACATCTACAATGTAAATGCGCCATCCACCTTGAGATATAAGCTCTAAGGCTTCAGTATAGTTACAACGGGTGCCCCGCCCTTCAAACCGAAACGCACTACTGCTTCACGGCAGAAATAGGCGGGGTGGTGGTACCTACCCGTGCGGACTCACAAGAGGTCCTACCACCAGTGATAAATAATTGATGCCTAATTTAAGACATCCTTAAACGGTTCGGGTTCCCTCATGTAAAAGCTTGGGGATCAGTTTGGGACACCCAAGGAGCTGCTTACGTGTAAGTGCTTTGCGTGCTCACACAAATGTAATTGTTGAAATACTGCGTTTTTAGCGTACCAGAATTTATAGTAAGAACCTGTAGTGATAAAGGTATGTTATATTTCAGATGACAACGAGTTCAGCGCCACCGTGCGAGAATTCGAAATGGAGCTGTGAGATGTGTACTTACGAAAATTTTCCTCTCTCACGAAAGGTATCACATTTCATTTGTGTTCTATTGTTTTTGGTTACTACTTTAAAAGTTGTAGACTAAACATCTAAGTTACATTTAATTTTAAATAACGATTTTTTTGTATCAATAGTTCTGTCTTTAGTTCCCTTAGTCTCTCTCAATTCGCGGAGCAGATAAATGATTATTACGATTTGTAGTTTCAGCAGTTTATTAGTAGTAGATTATAGAATTGGCAGTGTTGTTGCTCATTATTTACAATTTAAATTAACTGTTGCCCTAAAATGAAAATTCTGTTTTTAAAATATCTTTTAAATTTACCGTAACTACATAAGTAATCATTCATCATTGCCCTCAATGCAGAATACATTGCCCTCAATCAATGCCCTCAATGTATTCTGTATTGAGGGCATTGATTAATAATTTGCTTAAGATAAAATTTCATCGAACAATCTCGAACGTGTCACGGTACATTCAGTACGTATGTTTCAGTGTACAATGTGTAGATCACCGAAGCCACTACTGGGCGAAGACATATTCAGATTACAGGACGGCGCCAGCGCTCTTCCATCACAGGAAACGTGTGGTAAACACTCCCCTTTCTCCTCGACCAGATTTGAATGAAGTGATAATAATGTGTGTGATGATTTCATTCATTCGTAATCATAACAGTATACCGGTTTTATTTTCATTAAAATTTCATAATTAATTTAGTTATATCTAATCTGTCAAATCAAAATGAGATTTAATTATATTATTAAAAAGAATTAAAAGTAAAGCTTTATTTTGCTTTCCTTATTTATTTAATGTACTAAATGATTATGTAATTTTGAAAAAAAAGCTATCTAATAATAATATAATTTTGTTTCGAATTTCACTGTTTCGCGAATCATAGTTCAAAATTTATAAAAATAATGAGCTTTTTATCTGCACAGGAGCGGAAGCCGTAGCAGATAGACTGAAACCCCTCAGGATATCATCGCCTCAAGGTCACACTAGTGCCTCTACTCTTGTTAAATGGTCATGTCCTGTAAGTTGCTAATAAGCTATTTATTCAATTGAAACTAGTCGTTTCATTCACTCTATTGGTTCATTCAGTCCATATTCGTTCAGTTTTTAATGATGGCAATTTAATGTAGTAAAAATATTAATATATTTCATATATTTATTGCACCGAAATATTATTGTTTGATAACATGAAATGCCTATTTACAGATTGATCTACATAATCTAGAACCAACAAATCTACTTTGTGTTTCAAATATTAATTGTATATTATGAGCGCTGCAGTTTGCCAATCATTAGTGAAAAAAAAGGTCTTTTTTAGTTTCATCAATTATCGCATATGGCGAGAGTCTGCATGGTGCTCGTCTCATTCTATTTAGTCTATAATTCTGTAACCCTAGCCTAAAGCATATTATCAGTTTGCTGAGATGGGTACCACTATCCTATCAATTTCTGCGGTAAAGCAGTAATTTGTCCAGCGAAGGCTGACAGAACTATTATTCTATGAAATCCTACCTCATGTTTCGAGTAGAGCTGCAGTATTCACATTGTCTATTGACTCAGTTGGTCCAGCCCTACAACGAAAATAATTGAATTGAAAAATAAATATCGCTTGGAACATTGCAATTGTCGACTTATTCTGACCGGAACACTAATTTGAACTAAGGTTGATAAACACATATCATTAGAAATGCATTTAATCTTATGCATCTATATCAGGAATGATGCGTAGAGAGAAGATGCATACTAGGAGATGTAGGGAAATGGTAGTGCAACGTAGAAAGGGGAAGTGGTCGACCGAAGAAACTATGGATGGAGTGTGTGAATAACGATATGAGAGAGAGAAAGAGGAGTGAGTGTTAAGCTGACGGCTGATAGAAGAGAATGAAAGGGAAAAAATTGCTGTGCCGACCGCACCTAGTGGGATAAGGTGGAGAAAAAGAAGATCAGAAACCCGGTTCTCTGCTATACAAACTGCCCTTAGTGCTACGTTGTTTTTATGCAATAAGTTTGTTGGATATAAATTATTGTAATTCCAGACGTGCACGTACGAGAATTGGCCGAAGTCGATAAAGTGTGCGATGTGCGGCTACGGCAACCCTAACCCGGCCCACTCGCCCCCGTGCGACCCCAGGCTCCCGAGACCCCCAGGTAACACGCAACTATAGACACAGCCCATTCTATTGTATCATCGATAGCGTAAAACTTAACTCAAATTTGTATGGAGTTGGAACAGCGCCCCTAGCGACAAACGTATTGAAGTTACACACTGTTAAGCACACTGTACTTTTTTACTTGCCCAAAGCACGTCATTACGGATCCTCCCGATCCATTAACGGTGCTTTTAGGTATCACAAACACTGGTCACCGTCCTAATCGAACCCGTTGCTTGCGACGAAGTGCTCGACGAGCGAATTGACCCACAGACGCAGCCCACTGAGTTTCTCGCTGGATCTTCTCAGTGGGTCGCGTTTCCGATCTGGTTGTAGATGCTGCGAAGCACTGCCCTTGCTAGGGCCAGTGTTAGCAACACACCCGGTTTGAGCTCCGTGAGATCAACCACTAGTTAAGGTTACGCTGAAATAGCCTCTCAAGGCTATCAGCTTAGGTAGGAAAAAAAACCGGGGAAATGCAATGTATTTCATTCTTCTCAATACAAAATTCACCATAGGCTATTTAACGGTTCGGTCGGTCAAAGTTACTAGTATCCCTACTAATTTCATTGATTAATTAATTAATTGCTTAGATGGATGAAACGAGTTGATCGACCACCAGGTGGTAAACGATTACCAGGGCCCATAGACATCAACAACCACGTATTTAGATGTAATATAATTCACAGGTGTAAACGAAATATGTAACAATCAAACCGCGTCTCTGCACGACGTAGACGGCAGCACGAGGAGATCGAAGCGACGCGCCAGCAACATCGACTGGATATGGCTGCAGGCCTGTCTCGGTATGTCAATTCAGTTAATTGAAGACTCGAGTGGATGAAGGGGTTAAGTATCATTTTTAAGATTTTGGAGTTTTTACATTGAACGAAGGTGCCTAGAAACAATATTAGACATTCAAACTTTCTTACCGGTGGTAGGACCTCTTGTGAGTCCGCGCGGGTAGGTACCACCACCCGTCTGTTTCTGTCGTGAAGCAGTAATGCGTTTCGGTTTGAAGGATAGGGCAGCCGTTGTAACTGTACTGAGGTCTTAGAACTTATATCTCAAGGTAGATGGCGGCATTTACGTTGTATATGTCTATGGGCTCCGGCAACCATTTAACATGAGGTGGACCGTGAGCTTGTCCACCCACCTAAGCAATAAATTAAAAAAAAAGGTGGGTAGTGGCTTTGCCTATATAACATTTGACCTGTGAGCTCCTTCAGATGTGTTCCTTTTTTTATCCTACCTAAGCTGATAGCCTTGAGAGGCTATGTCAGCATAACCTTAACTAGTAGGTGAGCTCACGGGGCTCAATCCTGACGACGTTGCTAACACGAACCCTAGCAAGGACCTCGCAGAATCTACCACCGGATCGGAAACGCGACCCACTGAGAAGATCCAGCGAGAAACTCAGTGGGCTGTGTTTGAGGGTTGACTGTGGGTGGTGTGACGGGTTCGACGAGAACAATGACCGGATCTGTGTTCCCTAACGTCAACAAATAACTGATACAAAATGTTATATTTCCAGGCGTAGTGGAAGGTGAATCTCGAAGGGTCGAGACATATCTGTCGAGTGGAGGTGACCCGGCCCGGGCCCTCACTCACGCCGAAGTTCAACTTCTCAACCGAGCTTCGGCCTTCGACGCTGGATACACGCTCGTACACTTAGCGATCAGGCACGTGCGATTTGTTATACACGTTTTTTGTTCTACGATGTTCTACCATACTTATAAGACTAGCACTCTTCGAACCGGATTGTATTGCCTACGCTTCTATATACAGGGCCGCGCCGCCCCTATGTGCGGAATGAGTGGTGCACACAGGCGCCAAAACAATAAGGGTGCCGCCACCGAAATTATTTATGTTACACTCACACAACAAAATATCCTTTGTAGTGGAGTATCGTTATTTAAAGGGTTACAATAGGTGTAACATATGCTTTCTAAATAACAAAACATATAAATACAAGTTTCCGAAAATTGACGTCAAAACAATAAGTCCAAATTAACAATTAAAAAAAAAATACATTGAAACGTGAAGATTCGTAAAAATAGGGGGCGCTTCATGGATTTCGCGCACTTTCTTCTGTCTACATATAGTTTTTTTTTTTTCAGATTTCAAAGACAAGAAATTTTATCAACATTACTGTCACGGATATCGGGCGGCGGACCCGGACTGAAACGATCTCCCTCTTATATAGGTACGTTGTATTATTCTGTTGTAATACTTGTTGGAATCGTTTTAGTATTCACACTAATACTAGATAGTGAGATACTAGAGATACTATCTAATATCTCTCGTCACCAGTAGCTCGAATCTCCCTATTGCGAAAAGTATTTTTTGGAATTTTTCGCGTGGCTGTTTCTTACCGTTAGGTCGACCATTATAATTTCAAGGTTAATTCAATCAACCAATGATTTTTAGATCAATTTATTAGGGAAATTGTGTACTATAGAAGAAGAATGCGCATAGGAGAGGGCTTTATTAGAGGGTACAGGGTGCGGGCGCAGTGGTGTTAGGAGGCGCTGGCCTTGGCACTGTCAATGAACCTGTCACGTTTGTACCTAGCCCGTTGTTCTCTAATTATTACCAAGAACAAGACCTGGCTGTATGGACTAAAGTTCTTTGCCTTTCCCATTAAGGATAAATTAATATCATCATCACATAGCCCGTTGGGGTCGCGCGTTTACTAGAGGGCGCTAAGGTAATGACGTCACACCTATTTCTGTCGTGAAGCAGTAATGCGTTTCGGTGTGAAGGGTGGGGCAGCCGTTGTAACTATACTTGAGACCTTAGAACTTATCTCAAGGTGGGTGGCGCATTTACGTCGTAGATGTCTATGAGCTCCAGTAACCACTTAACACCGGGTTCGTAGATGGGTATCTAAGCAATAAAAAAAAGGGTACGTGTACTTATGTACGCGCGTAAGAAGTTATACTTTATTTTAATATTTTCTTTTATATTTAAATTTTAATCAATTTGAAAAAAAATCGATTAAACAACATCCTCAAACACGCATATTGGACCTCCCTTTTCTTGACATCGTATAAATTCGGTAATTCTCGGTACAGTTCAGAAAGTTCACCTGCGGCTATATTCAGACTCGCCAAGTTACATCGGTCGTAACTATTGAGCGATTTAGTGGGCAACTTCATTTCTGTTAATTTTGTGTCACGGTGCGCGCGCATCGTAAAATTTCACTCTCATCAATGTTTCATAACGCGCCTAAAGAAGTATAACTTCAAAAAGTGTTGGAGAGTCTTGTGGAGACGCCTAGTTCTTCCAGGATTGATGAGTTTGTCCGATGTGCCGTCCAGGGAATCCGCAGCATTTTTCAAAAACCAAAAATGAGCTAGAGGCTCCCTTAATGCGCACGTTTGACACAATAAATTTAATCAAAGCTCTAGTAGGTATGTATCTGATCTTGTGTCCTTTGTTCCAGCGCCGGACCTGGCGTCAGCGATACGTCGGCACATAGCGGGGTGCTTAAGGCAGAAGAAAGGAAATTTTCCATGTCGATACATCAACGAGTTCTGTACGTTCTCGTTGCCTGCTGGTAAGCCCGCCCATTACGTGTATTTTGTATTATATAAGAAAATTTCGGATGTCGAAATCAAAATCAAAATCAATTTTTTTTTTATTCAACATAAATGATAGTACACACTTGTTGAACGTCAAAAAGAACTACCGCCAATTCACAAAAAGTAGCCTCCGTCGTGAGAAGAAATGGCAAGAAACTCAGCGGGCATGTCCTTTTTTTAAATATTAGATTTTTTTAAATATTCATCGAATCGAAATTAATAAATAACAATAAATCGAAATTAAAACGAAAAAAATTGTTACATTCATGTTGACCTTAAATTTAAATATACCCACAAAAATTACACAATTGAAAAACCATAATATTAAATCTCAAAGACGTCATTTTTAAGTCAAGTCAATTATAATTAAAAAACACCTTAAAATATGTACAATTTCTCAGATATCGAGGAGTTACCGGCTGCGATACAAGAGCAGCTATTCTCCGAGTTACTGGACAGAGAAGCACAACAGACTTTAGAAGCGGATCCTCCACTCATAAACTGGAGCTTGGAGTTCACCGTTAACCTTGGTGAGCATCTCTATCATAGACACAATTAATGCAGATTCCAATTTCGACCTGAGAACCTCATACTTTAAATTGAGATGCAGAATTGGTTTATGAGATAAATTTCATTCCGTACACGATATGCAAATTATGGTTTGGTAGGAATATAAGTAATATTATTGCGCTATTACTACATACTAATATTACCGATACTAGAAGCTAGGAGTGGGTGATATAAATCGTATCTAGATTCAATATCTATATATCGCAGCAATATCGTTGAATCCGATATCGCCCCGCACGAAATCTATATATCGATATCAGCCGATACACGATATTGCTCGATGTGATGCGCATCGCCATATCGTACCGATTCGTGAATATCAGCAATATTCGTTTGGTTCGTATCGAATCGGCCAGAGTGAGTGAGCGCACGATAGGGATATCATGTGATGAATGAAACAGAAACAGGCATTATCCATACAATTGTAAACCTTATATTTAAGTCCATATGTCTGTAGATTATTCTTAGCGTATCAGCAGGATACAATTAAGGAAAGAAGTTTCAACTTTCGACCCTAACTTGAATGCAGTATAGCCTATTTGCATCGTTGAATTTAATTTCACGCGCTTTGACCTTGAACTAGAATTTTTGGACAAGTGTTTATAAATACTTAAAAGTTTTTTGTGTTTGATTTTTAAAGTACACATTTTTCTATTTTTAGTTGAATCCAAATAATTGAGTTTATTTCTTGTGTTTGTATTAAACTTTTGTAATCTACACTCTTTTGGTATATTTTGTAATTTTAAATTAAGACACAAAATACTAAAAACTGAAAATAATGTAGCCAGTCCTAAGCCTGATAAAAGCATGAAGGAAAGTTTTTTTGATAAATTTCATTTTCATGTTCTTTCTATACTTTAAAATCTTATAAATTGATATCAGAAAACCAACCGTATAACGTTGACTTAAATCTATCTACTACGATATTATATCAGCGATCGTTTCAAATCTCAAATATCATGAATCGAGAAAATCTACTAGCATCCATCAATATATAGATTCAGAAAATATATAGATTCAATATCCGATATTGATACTCGATATATAGATACGATTCGATACGCGACAAAACCGATATTACCCACTTCTACTAGAAGCAGTATGTAGTGTGAATAGAGTGTAATGAATCTCTGAATTCTCATCTCTGAGAATAATCAATGCTTGAGTTTATTCTATTTTGACGGTATAAATCAGGGGACGTCTGTATAGTATCGCCCGCGGACGACAGATGGCGTTACGTGTTATGTGTGTGTTGTTATCGTCCAGGGTCCCGGCTGTACGCCCTCTGGAACCGCTCGGCCGGCGACTGCCTGCCCGACGCCGTGTGCCAGGCCGCCTACGGGGTGTTCGACAGGAACAACGCGCTCCGGACCGCGCTGGCGGACTCGCTGCACCAAGCCCACAGGAGGTGAGCCTTACTTGTACAATGATAACGTTCATATTTGTATGGCAATTCATAGCTGTTTGTGACGTATTAAAACTTTTTAATTTTTTTATTGCTTAGATGGGTGGACGAGCTCACAGCCCACCTGGTGTTAAATGGTTACTCGAGCCCATAGACATCTACGATGTAAATGCGCCACCCACCTTGAAATATAAGTTCTAAGGTCTCAAGTATAGTAACAAAGGCTGCCCCGCCCTTCAAACGGAAACGCATTACTACTTCACGGCAGAAATAGACGGGACGATGGTACCTATCCGCGCGGACTCTCAAGAGGTCCTACCACCGGTAATTACGCAAATTATAATTTTGCGGGTTTGATTTTTATTACACGATGTTATTCCTTCACCGTGGAAGTCAATCGTGAACATTTGTTGAGTACGTATTTCGTTAGATACAAATTGGTACCCGCCTGCGGGATTCGAACACCGTTGCATCGCTCAACACGAATGCACCGGACGTCTTATCCTTTAGGCCACGTCGACTTCACAAGATCGTATTGTCTATTTTCAGTTTCTACGAGCGTTGGCAGGCGTGGGAGCGAATGCAGGCGTCGTTGTTACATTACGCGCCCGAGGAGGGGCAGCTGAGGGCGGAGTGGAGCAGGATATTAGCGTCCGCCGCCAGACCCGGCACGCCGCTGCATCAGGTGAACTCCCTTGTGTGACGCATCTAACAACAAAATACGATGTCGTCTCGCTTAGTCCAGTCATTATAGGAGGTTGACCCCGGAAATTCGACATACCCACCCAGTATATAAACACATGAGAACTTGTATGTTGGCATCCTAAAACTATTCTCAAAATTCACATAAAAACGATAATTACTACATTTAATTTCATCCCAGTTGATTAATGTCTCAAATTAATCATCTTCATTTAATTTCACTCCATTTTATCATTTTTCATAAAATTAAGAATATAAATTAAAATAAGAAATGACCTAAAAGTCTTAGTTACCAGGTCATAAAATCCTATAAAAAAAATCCTGCACTAAGCGATTAATCACACTCTAATGATGATTAGTGTTGGAATTTGCGAACTGTTGCATACGAAACCGCGAAGTTTAGTTTACAACTTAATTTCGTCACATCAAGGGACGCCCTAGATGGAGATCACTAAATAGTATAAAACAAAGTCGCTTTCTCTGTCCCTATATCCCTATGTATGCTTAAATCTTTAAAACTACACAACGGATTTTGATGTGGTTTTTTTTAATAGATTGAGTGATTGAAGAGGTTTATATGTATAACTAGCAGACCCGGCAGACTTCGTAGTGCCTCAATCCATAAATAAAAAACCTAAACTTTTGTATAAAATAAACTCAAAACAAACAAAAGGAATCCGTCCGACGGGGGACACATCAAAGGAAAAACAAAACTGTTATTTTTATTTAATTCTGAGCATTTTCATATTTATCTACCTTTTAAACCTCTGAACTTCCACAAATAATTCAAGACCAAAATTAGCCAAATCGGTTCAGCTGTTCTCGAGTTATAGCGAGACTAACGAACAGCAATTCATTTTTATATATATCTGATTAGGGTAGTTTTCCAATTACAGAGCATAATGCGACTCAGTGACGCACAATGCCGAATTATGCTGAAGCTTAATTGGAACGTTAATTAGTTTTTAAATGCATCAGCAGAGTGCGCTAAGTTAGCACAGTTTTAATTAACATTGATTATTTCTAAGAAACTACGACGAATCGAAAGCCTTACAATTTTTTTCAACATTAAATAATATTACTAACGATAATATAAACAAAATTTAGATCAATGCCAACTTAAAGAAAAAACACTTGTCAATTTTCTGTCACTGAGTCGGTATCGATTGCGAGTATCACGCGAGAGCATTACTTTTGAGAGTGCTCGATTGTTCGAAGCGTTGCTATAGTCGGAACATTCAACGTTGAGCATTATGCCGCATAATGCGCTCTTGTGCTGTAATTGGAAAACTACCAATAACATCCATTAAAGAGTGGAGAAATCAATAATAAATTACAGTTTCCGAAGCGAAACGAGGGCGGGTCGCTAGTTGTTAAATAAAAAGAAACCGTATTCGTTTAGATCCACGTGTTCGTCCTCGCTCACGTGATGCGTCGTCCCATCATCGTGTACGGGGTCAACGTTGTGAATTCCTTCCGGGGGGAGGCCTTAGGATTTGCACGGTTTCAAGGTACAGTTGAAAATGTTTCTTAATGTTAATGTTGTAAGGTCGAGTATTGATTTTTTGTATTTTTCATATTGAACGTTCTGTAATTGCAATTAGTTGCAATTTTGTTGTGATTATTGTTTTGATCTATGTTATATAATTGTTTTGATCTATATTTGTTGTGATCTATATTAATATTTTTAGAACAGTTTTTTTTAATTTATTTCAGTGTTAAAATTATGAAGAATACCATGACAAAAATATCATTTACTATCTATGCATTTACTTGTATAAGCGGTTTTTTGTTAAATGTATGATTCGATTTTTTGTTTTGAACACAAGATTTCTGAACTACCGAACTTAAATTGTGAGTCCGCACTGGTAGGTACCACCACCCTGCCTATTTCTGCCGTGAAGCAGTGATGCGTTTAATTTGAAGGGTGGGGCAGCCGAAGCTGCAGCTGTACTGAAAAACAGACTTCGAACTTGTGTCCCAGGGTACCTGTGGCGGCATTTACGTTGTAGATGTCTATGGGCTCCGGTAACCACCAAGTGGGCTGTGAGCTTGTCCACCCATCTAACCAATTAAGAAATGGTATTTTAGAATTGACTTTTGTCTGTCTTAACCATTTTATTTTGTTCAAATATAAAAATAATAATGAAATAACGCTCCTACCGTCCCATCTTATTGAAACACAAAGATAACATTTAATAAAATTAATACTAATGTTTTACATAGTCGTGTTGTATTGTCTATATAAATAGATGGCGTATTATTTCATAAATACCTACGAAATGATATCGCTAATTATTAAAAAATATTAGTAATGACATCAAATTAATAATAATAATTAAAATTTAGTCATATTCCAAACGGATTTATTAAGGAGCAGATGTAATAGATATAAGAGCGGAAAGAAAGTAGTGGTCTCGCTGTGCCCATGGTCTGGGCTCATCATAAATCGGAGCTATCAACTGTTTCCATTAACCAGCAAATATATGATTCCAGGTATATATTTACCGCTACTGTGGGACCCCCAGTTTTGTTCTAAATCGCCTTTATGCCTCGGATACACTCGCGGACATTTCTCCGCGCTAGTACCCATAGAGCCTTATTCGCATAGGCATACGTATATTTGTCGGTGAGTTTCATTATACATATATAACAATAAACGTCATTTGAAAGGACGTCTCGATTAAGGCAATAAATGCTATTAATTGAAGTTTTGACCGCATTTCGTGTATGGACTTTTCTCTATACAAGGGCGTAACCAGGATTTTAAGAATTAAGACGGTATAATCACTATGGAAAGTTTAAAAAAAATAACTTCATTGTTCACGCATTTTGACTAAAAATTAATCATATTTTAATGCATCAAAATACAAACTAACCTATATAATTGTATTTTAATTTTATTTTTATACCATTTTTCGTATATTCTGGTAACACTGAAATTGTTTAAGTTACTACCTTCGTTAGTACCAACTACGTCCATGTTTTATTATATTTTTCTAATCACAAAAACTACAATTTTACAATAATAATAATATTAGGTACTCGACTTTCTTTAGTTTTATCAATTATTAATTAAAATAAAAGTTACAGTAATAATTTATAACAAAATATTTGTTATATATGACAAAAAGTTGACGCAATCAGCTCAAAAAAAACAAAAAACAATTAAGTGACCGTAGTTAATTATCTTTGAAAGAAATTTAGAACCACTGTTAGCTGTCGTGAGAGTAACGTTTTAATATGTTTTATGTTTATATGCTTAATTACTGTTATCCTGACAAGTTGGAGACTAGAAACTTCATATTGTACATACATTATATCTGCGGTGAAGTCGTCAGCCTATCCACCTTTTTGATCTTGAAATTTGATTAGGCGCATCCAAAACATTACAAGTGATTTTGTAATGATCGTGTTTTTAAAAAAAAAGTTTAATTTCTATTTCAGGGAACAACAAGATGATAATGAAGATATGATATACCTGCCGCTAACGGATTCAGAAGGGAAATTATTGCCTGTACATTTTCTGACTTGCGATGAGGTAAGGGTGTTATAAATTACGGATAGACGAATGAAAACTGTTTATTACAGAAATTTTCTCGAAAACGTATAAGTTTCATAGAAATATTACATGTTTCAAAGATTTCTAATTAAACCTTAAAATATTCATATTTTTTTTGCTTAGATTGGTGGAAGAGCTCACAGCCCACCTGGTGTGTTATTGAGATATACGTTCTAAGGTCACAGTATAGTTCCAACGGCTGCCCCACCCTTCAAACCGAAACATTTCACGGCAGTAATAGGCATAGGTAGTGGTACCTACCCGTTCGGACTCGCAAGAGGTCTTACCACTAGTAGCAAGATGATTGGATGGTTTCTAAAACAAAGAACGCTACTACTAGATCAGATTAGATATATAAATAGATTGATTAAAAAACATCGTCCTCGTCGAACCCGTCGCTTGCGACGAAGGGCTCGACGAGTAAATTAACCTTCAGACACAGCCCACTGAGTTTCTCGCCGGATCTTCTCAGTGGGTCGCGTTTCCGATGCGGTGGTAGATTCTACGAAGCACCGCTCTTGCTAGGGCCAGTGTTAGCAACACTCCTGTTTGAGCCCTGTGAGCTCAACCTACACACGTTAGGGTGAAGTTGAAATAGCCTCTCAAGGCTATCAGCATACGTAAATAATAAAAAATTGATATTTTTTTTTCAAAAAAACAATTTTTACTACTAATCATATATACAGGGTGTTGTATTGTTGTTGTGTAGATGTCGGAAGCGGAGAGCGTGGTCCGTCGGTGGGTGGTGTGGCGCGAGACGTCGGGCGGGCTGGCGGCGGCGCGGAGGCCCTCGCTGGCGCCCTCGCTGCTGCAGGCACAGATGCTGGAGGAGTGGCTCAACCACTACCGCAGGCTCGCGTAAGTGCCACCTCTACTCGATCTAAACCTCTGTAAAGTTTCCGTCGTAGTCGTCGCGGCCTAATGCGGAGTTTACATTACGAAATTAGTGTCATGCATGTTGTGCTCAGTTTCACGAAAGTAGTTTCGATATATGAGTCGACTATTATCAAAGCCGGCAATGTGACTTTTGGACAATTATTGGTAAATCAGAAAAACGAATTATTGACTTTGTATTCCATTGGCAGTCACAAAACTCTTCTGAACGACATCTTAGATAAATAACAGGCTAACTATTAACCTTTATTTAATGCAGGTTTTGAACCGTATTCTTTGAAGGAGACGATTATATTCAAATCAATCTGTATTGACATATCAATAACATTTTTTTGTCCAAATGCACAGATTGCCACCTTTGATAATAGACGACTCATATGCGAAAGTAATTTCGTTAAAAAATTAGTGTCGCGAAATCCACAGTATCGCAGTAGCCATGGCGCCTTCAACATCAAAGCTGTAATTTGCTATATTCAATGTAGCTAAAGAAATGCTTATACACCTATAAACTTAAAAAAAGACTATCAAGAAAAAAAGTTTTTAGATTCGAGGATGGTCAACAAGAAGGCATTTAGGTGCAATGAAATTAGTCTCTGAATTAGCAGATGAAGATCCTGAGAGTTATAAAAACTATTAAATGAGTGAAGATAATTTTGATTTTTTACTGTAGGTGTTTCGGGACCCTTGTCATTGATATTCATTAATAAGATCTATATTTTTTTCTGTACTCCATCGTTGGTTTACCATTTTCAACGCTTGAAGCGCGTCCGAACTAACAATACACACGTCCGCACAGCGCAGGCCCTTTCGCGACATTAGTTTCACGTCGCGTCTCCACTATGTAATTAGTTGCATGACACTAATTTCACCAAAAAATCGCGAAGGGCACGAAACTAATTTGCATGCATGAAATTAATGCATGCATTACGAAAGTATTAAATTACACGTGAAACTGTTAGTAAAACTAATGTCACGAAATTAATTTCACGCCACTAATTTCGTAATGTAAATTCGGCTTAAAGGATAAGACGTCCGGTGCATTCGTGTTGAGCGATGCACCGGTGTTCGAAATCGCAGGCGGGTGGGTACCAATATTTGTGTCTAACGAAATACGTACTTAACAAATGTTCATGATTGACTTCCACGGGGAAGGAATAATTTATAATTACTGGTGGTAGAACCTCCTGTGAGTCCGCACGGGTAGGTACCATCACCCTGCCTATTTCTGCCGTGAAGCAGTAATGTGTTTCGGTTTGAAGGGCGGGGCAGCCGTTGCAACTATACTTGAGTCCTTAGAACTCATATTTCAAGGTGGGTGGCGCATTTACGCCGTAGATGTCTATGGGCTCCAGTAACCACTTCACACCAGGTGGGCTGTCGTCCACCCATATAAGCAATTTCCTTGAAGGCGACTTCACTTGATTATTATTGGCTAGCGTTGTTCATAGACATTAATAACGTCGGGACACAGACATAGCGCCACGGACTCATTTAGTTCCGGACATACAGTGATAATTTTTTTCTTATCAATTAAAGATACCATACGAATGCCTAAACACATCCGGCGATTATGCCTCTAACTGTGCAAATTATGTCAAAGAGTTGTCAGTTTGGATGTACCAATAACACTGTTAATAGCATAAAAATAAAATAGAAAACCATACGTTTTACAGACAACAAACTAGAGGTCCATTTCCACCGCGACTCCAAGCCGCGGCAGCGGAATACTCAAGCGATCCCGATACAGATGAAGAATGATATAAACACTCGCTAACAATACACCAAAATAAACACTACACGGTAATTAATATACACCGTCAAACACACAACGTTGATAAGCTTAACATTAGGAAGGAAATTTAAAAAAAAAACCTTGGCAACACCACGAAGCGCTCGGTGTTGCCAGTGAACAAAATTCTAAATTAATAATTGTGCTCAATAACTAAGCAGCTTATGATTTTTCACTATAACGATTCCGATTCTATTAATTAATATGAATAGAAAATGCGCTTGTTTAAAAATAATAAAGTACAAAATGTAATTGTCACGCAATATTACACTCTCGTACATTGTGTATGAGTATTAATTACATTAGACAATAAAGTTTTAATGCCCTCTGAGTTCTCACCAAATGTCGCTGATCATGATCAATCTAAGAACTGTTTTATCAATGAACAGCCAAAGTAGTAGTATATTGATAGTTACATCAAAATGAATTATAGTAGTTAAATAATAATAATAATATTTTACAAATAGCGTAGTATTGTGAATTTACAATATTACATAGCTTCGCGTAGTGGGAGTTCGTTTTTTTTTTGGCTTTACTAAAGAATCGACATGCAGTTAAACAATTGATGCTCTTTTCAACATAAAACACACTTAAACAATTAATTTTCAATACACGAAATGCCTTATTTTTTTATTCTTAAAAGTTCAATTAATTTTACGTACATTCCAAATCAAAATCACGTTATTTCAAAATTTAATACACCTATTCTGATTTATTTACTAGAGACGCGAATAGTTGAAGTGTGAATTGTAAAGCCAAAATCAAAGGAAATAGTGCTCTTATAAAAAACTGATAAACGAAAATACGTGTCTAGGGACGACAGATAAATTAGTAAACATATTTTTATATATATATAAATAAATAAAAAAGAAAGATAAATGGCAGTGAGAGGTTGCTTTAGTGACGTCATCTATAGGTTTTGTATGGCAGTTGAGATATTCGTTTTGAAGGGATTGCATTCATACAATTTGAAGGTTATAGTTGTCGAAGTGACTATATTTAGTTTTATAACACGAATGCGTGATCGAATAATGGCCCGCCTTACTGTTGATCGAATAGTTTTACCTGATCTAATATCGATAAATAATCGATACGAATCTCCATTCATATCTAGCAGTCGTGACTTATCAGATATCGCAGCATCAGAAAAATGAACTCTGATTGCTTATAAAGAAATCTATACTAATATTATAAAGAGGAAAGATTCGTTTGTTTGTTTGTATTGAATAGACTCCGAAACTACTGAACCGATTAGAAAAATTCTTTCACTATTTGGAAGCTACACTATTCCCGAGTGACATAGGCTATAATCTTTTTTGAAACAAATTAGGGGTACTTACTAAAACTCAAATAATGTAACCCGAGGTGTAAAAAAAATACCTAGAATATTCTTTACATCGCGTGTCCTGCGAAAACTATTCATGATAGAATAAAATAATGTACTACGGCTTTGTAGAACACATTATTATTTACAAAAAGTGTCGCAACAGCATATGTCTAACTATTATACGTATGCCGCAAATGAGTTTTCTTTTATTAAAAAAAATAAAACAACGTCAAATATCGTTGAAATTTTTGTTAAAAACCCGAACGGAGCCGGAGCGGGCCGCTAGTAGTGGAATAAAGACATTTCCGAACATACACACATATTCTCTGAAATTTATTAGATTTCCCTTTCAGTGGTTTGTTGTTATCTTAAAACCTAACTAACTTTAACTAAATTCAGTAAACATTTTCTATTACACGAACGACATACCGTCTGAGACATTGATACTTTTTAGTTTAAAGTTTTGATTTAAACAACCACATGATAATCTTCACCTCTGTGCCCACATACAATACCTCTAGATATGAGTGGAGATGATTCATGTAATAATAACTTTACTTAGTGTTGCTAGTGTTAAAAAAACCCATGAAATCTAAAAAGTTTTGGTGAATCCGATTAGTAATTAAAAAAAAGCAATAATTATATTTCGAAATGTATAAAAAATTAGTATGAATAAAAAAACATAAGTGTAAAGGCTGAATTATTGTTGCTTCGTGTAGATTTTTGATTTGCTGTAGATCGTACTATTGAATTGTTATTTTGGGGTTTATTTTATTTTTGGGTGTGAATTTTATTTGAAAGTCGCTAATGTTCGATTGTGACAAAATTATTATTGTGTAAAAAGGCTGCGCTGATTCATAGCTGGCAGGCGTTCGGATTTTTTAAATTGTACAATGAATGAGGCTAAAGTATATTTATTTTTATATTGAATGTTCAATACATTAATTGTAAAATCAATGTGTAAATTATAAATCAAAATTATGTAGATATTGTTATTAAAAAAAATGTGTGCGTGTACTAGTGTACACACGTAAGAAGTGAAACTTGTTTATGGCCTTATTTTTCGAAAAATGATCTACATGCAACTTTCTAGAAATTGGTTAAATAAAGTTAAATTAGATAAAGTTTAAACAAAAGGATTTTATTATCATAGACATGAATACAAATAATACAATTATTTCACTTTACCTTTTTGCTACTAAGATTATTACAGCATTTCATTAATTGTAATAGAATTATTACTATCATTGTCATTGTCATTATATATTTTTGTAATTAATGGCTTATGGTAACTGAAATATGAAATATATGGTTTACATTCCACGAAATTTAGTGACCGAGTAAAAACTCCATCAATTGTAGTGCCAGATCTTGTTGTTGACGTTTGAGGACTGTTTTTCATGGATAAATTCAATTTATCTTTCAGAAATTCAACTAGCTTCAAAGAATTTTCCGATGCAAAATTTACATTAAAATCTCCACTTAAAATCATCGGTATTTTATAATTATTGTTACCGAGTAAAGAGGCACCTTCACTTGTGTACGGCAACAATGAATGGTGAAGAAAAAGATGGCGCGTAACGGAAAAATGTGACGCGTAACCGAAAAATGTGACGGTAAATTTTTTTCCAACGCCGATAAAGAAGTTTCACTTCAAATATATTTTCGGAGTTGAAAAAAAAATTAATTGAACGGTCATGAAGGTTAGTTATGAATCAGCACTTAAATACAAAAAAAAAATATTTTTTTCCTTTGGTTGTAAAATAGAAAAGTATAATTTTTCAAATTAATTGTTTTATTAAATTAAGATGTATTATAGAATATGATTATGCTATTAATATGTTTAGCGTGGTTTTTTTTTAGTTTTGACTTTAATTCTGATAGGAAGCCGTTTGTGATTGTATCATCATTCGAATTTTCAAAAGATTACATTAACGCGAAAACAAATCACTTTAGAATATAAAAAATCAATATAATTCTGGCACTTCGTAATATAACGGAAAGTAATTGCTGTATCTATCCAAAAGTACGTATTCGACGAACATTCTAGCAAACCAAACGGATTTGAAAAACACAAGCACTTTTAGTTAGTTAGATCGCTCAGTAATAACAATGTTTTTTTTATTACCTAGAGCAGCGGTCGGGGAACCGGGGTAAATTACCCCAAATGAGGTAAAATGAAAATTTGGGGGGTAAATATGAAACTTGTGAGTAAAAAGTATATGTTGAAGTGAAATTTCTTTAGAATCGTTGTGATTTCAAACTCGATGAAACGAAATGAAACGAAACGAAAAATTTTTTTTTTTTTTTTCAAAATTATCTTGTGTGCTATAATATGAATGATGCTAAAAAGAAGCGATTTCGTTATTTTTTGTTCTTCGCCATGGGGTAATATCAACTTACACAAAAATATTTTGGGGTAATAATTTAAAAAGTTCCCCGACCGCTGACCTAGAGGGATGGACAAGCTCCCTACCTGCCTGCCGCATAAAGAACACTTGACCACATAGATACCGGAAATCTACCTTGAGACATGACTTTAAAGTCTAGAACAATCTAACCAAAGAGTAAACAGTTTTCTCATATCTGATGAATGGTGGCATCATAATTGCCATGGACATATACAGGGTGTTTAGAAAGTAAAGTTTCCAGAACCGAAACTGGAATATTCGGAAATATACTTATTTAAATAGGAATGGAAAACATTAGTTTAACGAAGTCAAGCATCTCCGTATGCTTTAGTATGTTCATTTATTCTTAAATCTCGATACAACATTAAGGCAAAACTGTAAACAAATATTCCCGAAAAATACAGCTGATATTAATATATTCTAGTCATATTGACGTTGCAATTTTTATTTTCTAATGTTGTTCTGCCAGGTATAACTGATACTGCCTTCTTCGTTTTCGGGAAGTTCTAATTCACCCTCTTTAAAGGGTGTCCTCTAATTCGCCCCCTCTTTCACATGTGTTAGAAGATGCCTTAATGTATCGAAGCTATCAGTATAACCTTGGGATCATGGTTTAAAGTTGCACATCTAGAGGCCTGTGCCAAAAGGGGTCAGAATTGCGGGCCAAACTCTCAAATTGTATTTACTTTTATTAAAACAATGCTCTAAAATAAATACTCGATGTGTTTTAGTAATGTTAGATGATGCGTTCTGGTAAAGATAAGTTGTCACTGCTGTTGGCGCGTACATTATTGCTCTTCTTCTTTCTTCTTCGTCGCTTTCTTCATTGCTGAAGGTCGTGTCCCTGAAACTTGACCGTTGCCTGTCTCGTGAGCTGTTTCCATCTCGTCCGGTCCTCAGCTGCTCGAATTGCGGTTGCGACTGGCAACCCAGTTAGAGCGGTTACTTGATCACACCAACGGCTAGGTACCTAATCGGCCGCGGGGTCTCTTTCCTTCTACTTTGCCCGTCACAATCACTTTGTCCAAGTTATCTGACTGTCTATATTATTAATAATCTTATTACTACTTATCCATGAATGTCAGTTTTATAGTTTCAGGAACAAGTAAATGTTTTTTTGTTAATTTTACGTGTAATTGGACTGTTTGTCATATTTGGGAATACGTTTATCGTTTGGCTAAATACAGCAATACTGTCGATCGAATACGTTGTACGGCTTATAGCCAAAAAAAACCGTCAAGTAACAGCAACGAAAAAAAATAGACACGGCCCTTCTAAATTTTAATGCTAGAGTATTGTGATCGGTGAAGCGCAAGACAAGACGTTCATTAAAAAGGGTCGTTCAAAAATAAACTTTCTGTGAAAACAAATACGCGCTATTGTAAATATTTATGCCGCCGCCTTACTCTCATTAGTATTTAGCTGTTAACCAATGGTGCAATACGGAATATAGAAATTTTGCTTTAGAGGAAAAGGAATAACTCGCTTGGGAGTGAATGGTATGTTTGCTTCGTTCGATTCAGTAATGCAAACTGGAAGGAATGAAATTTTGAGGGCAACAATAAATGAACTATTGATCTTATAGGTTATATTTTACTTTTTCTTTCAACAAGTTGTAAATATGTTCACCGGGTACGTTCGATTCGAACGTGATTAAAAGCGCATCCGTTAATTTCATTGTGAACTCATTTGATTGAAATTGTTTCTGTACCTTACTAATTTTAATCAATAAAGCACTTATTTTATGAAAATGTTCTTTATTTGTTTTATTCCTAGATTTCGACTGAAATCATAGATTTAAAGATGCGGCCTGTGCGACGATAAGTGGCAACATTTATAGTACCTAGCTACTTGGTCTTGGTGACCACTTAATACTGTGTAGGATGTCACCTGGTCTATCAGGTTAATTATTCACACTACTAATGCTGGAAAATTGATTCAGAATTTGCTGTCAATTTTGTTGATTCTTTTGATCTAAAATCACACTGATTTTATTATTTAGCGAAAGTTTTTTAGGTACAATTTTTCGATTGACCCATATATCATACGTGTATGTGCTGATGACTTAAATTATTTTGTACTTGAGTTGCTATTGTATGTTAAAATTATGGACAGAAAAGAGACTGTCAAGCACTCTTCGCGACATTTTACGAAATAATATGCTCTCTGTTTAGTATGAAACTAAAACGCTTCCAGCTTCCTTAGGTCTGCGAACATGAGGATTGTTTCTATACAGTGGTATTCCATTCTTTAATCCAGAATAACATGTCTATTCAAATACTATAGACAGAAATTAGGTAACATACTAGCTGCTACTTCAGATGCATGATAGAAGTTTAGTAGTAGCTTGAAAAGGCTTAGCCACGTAGGCCATTATCATCAAAGTATTCTGTTTTTATTTCACTCCAATATAGAAATGCCTGACGAAAATAAAGCAATATTATGTCTGTCTGAGTACGCACATTGTACATGATTAAAGTTTCACGTTGAAGTCCACAGTGTATCCACAGATTATATCGTCTTTTGAACAGA